AAAAAAAAAAAAAAAAAAAAAAAAAAAAAAAAAGTTCATGGACTCTTTTAAGAAATATTGTTGAATTTTTTGGACTTGGATGAAATACTCTGTTTCCTGTGTTCATATGGAGGTAGCTTTCCTGGCTGGGTCAGCAAGAGATTTTTCTCTTGTTTCAGTATTTTACTGTTTTGCAAACACAAATACCTAAACAGACTTCAACAAAGGACAGTGATAATATGCCCCATCATAATGGTAACAGCAGCTAACACTTACTGAGCCCTTATCATGTGCTGGATAGTATATTACATCCTTCTAAAGAGTGAGTATTTAATGTTCACAATTCAATGAGATAGAGCCTGTTATCTCCATTTTAATATGAGGAATGTGAGGTTCAGATGTAAGTTTAAACTCCAGTTTTCAAAATGAAGCTGGGGATTGTGATACATGTATGTAGTTCTAGCAACTTGGAAGGCTGAGGCAGGAAGATCACTTGAACTCACAAGTGTGAGACCAGCCTGGGCAACATGGACCCATAGAAATAAAAAGTTTGCAAACCTACTAACTAATCTGGTTCCAGAAATGGTGTCCTTAACGACTATTCCATATGACTATGAATTCCAAAATATGTACATGGATATATGAATATTAATGTGAACTACATGTAGTAGTAGTCTTTCAGCAGCCAGGAACTGTCCAATATCAGTAATTTTATGTTTCTACCTAAAATACCAACCCAGAATTCCTTGAATGTGGTCACCAGATTTGATTATTATTATATATTGGTGTCTTCTTAGAACGAGCTATCAGTCACTACATGTTTCTGAGCATAAGTATGAGGGACCAGGTGAGTGTGATTGAGGAGATATAAATTATCAAAGCAAAGGCAGGGGTGAAGCTGAGGGTGGGCAAGGAAGTGTGCATGCACATGTGTGTGTATGTATGTGTGTGTGATGGAGTATTACTATGCCATAAAGAAGGATGGGCTTGAGACATTTCTAAGTAAATGGATGCACCTTGAAACCATACTCTTCAGTGAAATAAATCAGACACACGTTTGAACTGCATTGTTTTATATTTATTTATTTATTTATTTATTTATATGCATGTGTGTGTATGTATGTGTGTGTGATGGAGTATTACTATGCCATAAAGAAGGATGGGCTTGAGACATTTCTAAGTAAATGGATGCACCTTGAAACCATACTCTTCAGTGAAATAAATCAGACACACGTTTGAACACTGCATTGTTTCTCTGGTGTGAGAAACTGAAAATGGAAATAAGGACTAACGTGTATGATAGAGATTGGGAAATGGGAAGAAATTGGTTCAAGTGAGATGGGAACAAGGCAAGGGGGAGGGGGAAAGAAAGGAAGGGACAAAAAAAGAATAGAAGGAAAAGCAGGAACAAAGCTTTTGTAAATAAGGACAGGAAGAGGAGCTGAAGGGAGGGAGGAGAATTTGAAAAAAATGAGGCAAGACCCCTCCTCTGTGATGTCTTCTCCCTTACAGAAGAAGTGGAAGACCCAGGCTGTGGTCGCAGAAAGTGGCTCACACACCGGGGAGCCGAGAAGTCTATGTGCTGAAGAAAAACTCATTCTCTACCAGACTGTTGAAAATCTCCGTTCTGATTTTGAATGTATCTATGAAAACAGCAAAACAGAACTGAGAAGCCTTCCCAGGCACCCAGGCGGTGCTCTCCGCGCTCCTTAACTATCTACAGGGAGTTCTGAGCTCTCCTCCCGTGCCACACGAGCCTGCAGAGGGCAACTGCCCTTTTGTAGTCATCCCAGGCCCAGGCTGCTTCCATCGCCCGTTCGGCCAATTCTTACTGCAGCTTCAGCTCTGCAGTCAGGTCCAGCCTTCGAGAAAACCCGCATCCTACAAGCACTGTCCTGTGCCCACAAGCGGAGCCGAGGCTCCAACCCGGCCTCTCCACTTCACCATCAGGGACACCAGAAGGGCACCCAGCACTGCGAAAGAGCAGAGCCCTTAGAAACAGAGCAGTGGAAATGAGTGACTTGAACGTTAGAAGTTAGGGCGCGAAAGTTTAAATCCTACTTTCACCGCTGATTTACCACGAGATCCTAACTGATGTGCTACGTTGTCTTCAGCCTTGTATCCTGCAGCTGGAGAAGCCGAGCTGTCATTCTGCAGTTCCTGGTTAGTGGCAGGATCAGAAACAAAGTGGAAAAATAGATGATCAAGAGCCGTTTACATTTGGTTTGAGAAAGATTGATTTAGTTTTCTGAAACTGACTTTAGGGGGAAATCACAGCGTCTGAAATCAGAATATAAAGTCACATTGTAGAACTAATTTGGGAAGTGAGGAACGGTGGCACAAGCCTATGATGTATGGGAAGGCTGAGGCAGAAAGGTTGAAAGTTGGAGCCCAGCTCTGGCAATTTAGCAACTTAGCAAGACTCTAACTCAAAAAACACTTTTTTTTTAATTATAAAAGGGCTAAAAGTTGCTGGGGATTTGCCTCAGTGGCTCTATTACCTGCTTTTCACATACGGGTCCCCGAGTCAAACCCCGACAACAAAAAAAAAAAAAAAAAAAAAAAAAAAGGCTAAAGGCCAAGTGGTGAGGCACAAATTTATAATCCCAGCACTTAGGAAGCTGAGTCAGGAAGGTCACCAAGAGTTTGAGGCCGGCCTGGGTAACATAGTGAGTTCAATACCAGCCTGAACTGCAAAGTAAGAACCTGTCTCAAAAAAAACAAATAAGATGGGAGGAGGCTGGGAATGTAGTCCCCAAACAACAACAACTCTGATTTTTAAAACTTAGAAAAAAAAAAACTCATTTCCTTCCTTCCTTCCTCCCTTCCCTCTTTCATTACTAAATTTCCCCTCCCTCTTTCTTTCCAAGCAAGCTTTGTAGATCACACCTCTAGAGAATATAAAGTAAAATTTTCAGTTCATAAGAAGAACAGTTTAAATCTCTTGGACTTTAAACATTCGTGCTTATAACATCTATTCTTAGGGAAGACAGCAGGTAAAGAAAGGGCTAGAGGAGAAGGAGACTTAAAAAGAATTAAGATACATTCTGTACCAGCTCCCCAAAATGAATGCTACAATCATTATGTACTACAAACATATACTAATAAAAATGGAAATTTGCAAATAAAAAAATAGGTAAAAAATGGGTAAATGAATCACACTATAGGTATCAGGATGCAAGGTCAGAAAAATCCATGCATACTAATCTTAGTGGCTTCCTGCTTGGTAAGCAGCCAGCATGGACAGGTGCTTTATGGGTAAAATGAGAGCCAGTGCCCTCTTTGGATTTAATGTCTCTGGCATATCCTCTCCATTCTAGATTAGTTCTAAAGTACTTCTTATCCTCCATCTGCCTAAGTTACCTATTATCCAGAGCTCTTGAAAGCAAGTAGAAATCTTAGAAAATACACTCAGAAGTATTTAAGAAAAAGGACATGTAAAGCTTGCCTCCAAATGGATCAAGGGATTAAAAAATCTAAATAGAACAAATGATAAAGCAAATGGACTCAATTATTAATGATAATCAAATTTTAGAAAAGGCTATATGAGGTTATATGAACTGTATTCATTTTCTTTAAATAAAAAATAAAATAGGCACTAATAGTATAAATTATTATTTACACATGTGTAATATATATGAACCTATGTAAGCACATCTTATGTGCACAGAGAAATATCTCCAAAGATAGGACCTAAATTATTATAAAGGTGACTTCCTTCAAAGAAGGTATCAGAAAATGGAAAGATATCTCCTGTTCATGGATAGGCAGAACCAACAGAGTCAAAATGGCCCAAACTGATATACTGATAGATTTAATGCAATCACAGTCAAACTACCAATAATGTTACTCAGAGAACTAGAGAAAATAATCCTGCAATTCATATGGAACCAGAAGAGACCTAAAATAGCAAAAGCCATCTTGGGCAATAAGTGCAAAGCAGAAAGCATCATAATTCCAGACTTCAAGATTTAATAGAAAGTTATAGTGATACATATGGCATGGTATGGGCAAAAAGCACGTGGATCTGTAGTACATTATAGAGGATGCAGAAACAACTCCAGACACACTTAGCTATCTAATCTTTGAAAAAGAGCCAAATACTTAAGCTAGCCAAACTTAGACCCATACCTCACATGAGGCATTACACTAAAATCAAAACAGATCAAAGATCTAAATATTAAAACAGAAATAATCTGCCAGAAGACTAGAAGACATAGGCATAGGCAAGGACTTTCTGAGCAGAACCCCAGTTGCACAAGAAATAATACAGTGAGTCCCCCATTTATAAGCATTCCATTCTGGAAGAACATTTGTAAATCAGATTCATTCATAATCTAACAAAGGACACCTGTGAATCATATACAATACACCTGTGAAAATGTACAATTTGAAGGTTCCTAAATCAGGGACTTGCTGTACCAAGAATGAACAAATCACATCAAATGTAAAAGTTTCTGCACAGCAAAGGAAGCATCCAACAGACTGAAGGGACAATCTGCAGAATGGGGAAAAAATGTTGCCATCTATTCCTCCAACACAGGATTCATATCTAGAATATATAAAGAACTCAAAAATATTAGACTCCCCTCCAAAAAAATAGAAGACCCAATCAAAAAGTGGGCAACTAGGGCTGGGGATTTAGCTCAATGATACCGTGCCTGCCTCACAAGCACAAGGTCCTGTGTTCGATCAACAAAAAACAAATAAAGTGGGCAACTGAGCTGAACAGATACTTCTCAGAAAAGAAATAAATCTGTTAGTGATGGCCCATTTGAGGGCAGAAAACACCAAAGCTGTGAAGTATATGAGATTGCAACCGAATAGACTTTGGCTGATAAGTACCGTTGGCTTATTTTTCCCCTCTTCAGGCAGAAGAAGCATGATAGGGTCTGGGACTGCCTGGTGATGCCTGTCTACCAGCCATGTCTGGAAGTTGGAGAGATCACATGGCCACAAGTGGGTGTCCTGCCTTGGACTTGTCTTGATAAGGTAATCTGTTAAATTGTTAATGGCTTAGCAATGACAGAATGCTCTTTACAGTCTTCTCTATTGATCCCTAACCTCAAAGTAAGTTGCTAACATCATGTCATTTGGGCTAAAGTGGTTTGGTTTTTTTGTTGTTGTTGTTTTGTTTTGTTTTTGTTTTTTGAGCAAGTGTCCGCTGCAGGCTGTGCCTCGGCTAGCCCTTCATGATTCAGTTTGTCAGCATTAGCCCTCAGTGAGTGATATCATCAACCCTGCCCTGACTGACTTTGAGTCTCTGTTTTGGGCTTTCCAGAATCCTGCCAAAAATGATTACATCATTTAAGTAGGTAAATGCCTGTAGGAAATTTATATCCCCCAATTACCTTCTCCATTACACACTGCTAACTAGCAGAGGCCCAGCAGGCACCCTTGGGCTGTTTTCAAACTAATATTCCACCAACTTCTCTCAGACAGAACAGAAGTCAATTTTTCCCTGGTCCTCTTTAGCCATAGTATTTAATTATCATTTCTTTGCACATCCAGGAATGACCTCCATTGTCTCCCTGGAAGACAGTCCAAGGTGGCGTTAACTCTGGGGGCAGATCATTCATCTGTGCTGCTGCCTCACTCAGAATACAACAGTCCATGACACAGATTGCAGATTTCTTTCATACCACCATGATGGGCCATGCTTAAGGCTCAGGACTCTGGGTCTAACACCGTAACTGAGTACCTCCTTAACCTTCTCTTATGTGCGCTGGATTTCAGACTTTACAGCATACCTACAATGCTTCTGGAAAATGCATGGACCATTTTATTCTATTATCTGTTGTCACTTGAACATAATGTATCTCTCATTCATAGAGTGATAAGAATTTTTCCATTTTAAAATATTTCCTCCTAGTCTCTTCTTTCTCTCTTTTAGTAATGAGAAATCTCAAAGTCAAAACATCTTTGGCTTTATTTCAGTAGTTCCATGGGTGCACCTCTAATGGAAAAGTAAGACATTTTTTTTTGTTACAGTAATCCTCTCTCTCTCTCTCTCAAAAAATTAAAATGACTAGAAAAATGCAAGATTTGCCTACTGTCAACACTGTTGAACTTAACTTTATGAAAAACTAGAATTCATTCTCATAAGTAATGACACACTCCATAGGCCTCCCAGATTGCTGCATTGAATATTATGTTTCCTAGGTAATCCCAGAACTTCTGTGAGAAAGTCTGCTCCAAAAACAAAAAAGTGCCTTGTATGGCAGTGCTCATCTGTAATCCCAGTACTGGGACAACTGAGGCAGGAGGATCGCCACAGATTTGAGCCGAGCCTAAGCTACATAATGAGTTGACAGGCCTGATCATAGAGAGACCCTGTCTCAAAAAATCAAAATGGAAGGGAGGGAGGGAGAGAGAGAGAGAGATACTTCTTTACACTTAAGGTGTAAAGACTCAAAACTGTTTCCTTCTACAATGTGAGATGGCATCAACACTCATCAGTAGGGTTGGATCCAGGTTTTCAAACACTTCAACTTCTTTTGTTTGTTGGTTTGTTTTTGAGACAATGTCTTGCTGTGTAGTCAAGGCTGGCCTTGAACTCACTATGTAGCCCAGGCTGGCCTCAAACTAGTAGTGATCTTCCTGCCTCTTCTTCCCAAGTGCTGGTACTACAGGTGGATACCACCATATTGGCTATCAGGCCCTTCAACCTTTTGCAACTTGCAGGCTCTCTAAAAGATTAAAAAATTCAAAATTATTCATGTAAAATCAGGTGTGAAGGAGGGTATTTATTTAGAACAGGAAAGAAATCATGGAAATTTAGAAGATTTTAAAATTTACCTGGCAAAATAAAGATGCTCACAATTTCTTCGCCAGTTGTCCATTGAAAGCGTCTAGTTGCACTCCCCATCAATGTGGACTGGCTTTGCAGACTCAAGTACTTCCCTAGGGCAGAAGTGACAGTCACGGACACGAGTCAGTCTCGCTCACAAGCAGCCTCGTCACTTTCATGGGCCCCTCTTGGGGCACCTAATCCAGGGACCTAGGTGCCTGCTGCAAGGAGGAGTCACACCCCCCAAGGGGCCACATGGGCAGAACGGGGCTCCTGAGTGAACAACTCCTATGTAGCTGCAATCAACTTCGGGGAGTACTAAGTACCTCGGTTGCCTTATCTGAAAAATGGAGATGCAAGCAGAGAAAAGGAAGGGAGAATGGAAAAGATTATGGATAGTTATAGCTAGGAGGAAGAAATATGATATTCTAGTGCACAGTAGGTGTCTCTAGTTAACAATGAATCATGTATTTCACAATAACTAGATGAGAGGATTTTAGTGTTTTTATCGCCAAGAAGTGATAAATGCTCATTACCAGATTTGATCATTGCACAAGGTACACATGCGCTGAGGCATCACATTGTACCCCCATAAATATATACAATTATTATGTGTCAATTAAAAATAAACAAAAGTGGAGAGATAACTCCTCAGATCTCATAGGCTTAGGGGATTGATGATCTGGATTAGATTAATTTTTATGTAGACAGCTCTGAGAAAAATGCCTGCCGCACAGCAAGGGCACAGCAGTGAGAGCTTAATATTAGGATCACCTCAGAACCCCAGAAAGCTCTGCAACACTGGCCACTGGAGGTGTTCCACACTTTCCAATTCTAGGTCGTTCCCCATGTGACTCTGAGGTCTCCACTCTGGTATTCCTTCCTCTGGCCTCCTCTAACCATCTGCTCTCCAGATACACTTTTCTGGCATCAATTCTGAATCCTGCTTTAGATCTTCTTCCCTTTTGAATCTTCATCTTACTAGTACTTCATTTGTGTTATAAAATTATTATTTCTCAAGGTTATAAGTGTGCCAGGATTGGGGAAAGGCTTTCAAATGAGGATGTTGACTAGAGAGCTAAAAATGAGCATTTTAGGGTCCTTTCTCCCTTCACTAATCCAAACAGAAACTCCCTCATTCACATTGTTCTTCCTCCTTTGCACCCCAGGCTCTCTCACCTTTTCAATAATTTTGCTTCATAAGCTCTGCCTTCTGGCTTCTGTATTAGTCAACCCTTCCTCCTGTTGAGTCGTTTCCCTTGTGCGCAGATGCACCATTATTAGCTATCCTTAAAATCAAAACCAAATAGAACACTACCCTTGACCCAGCCATTCTTTCCTATTATTACCACACTTTCCTTTTATCATCAGTAACAAAAATTTTTGCACATTCAATTTCTTCATCCTCAATCAACTCTAATTCCAGCAAGAATCCGAAGTTCCCGCAAACTACGACCAGTAATGACGTCCCGGCCTCCGCTGTCATCTCGCTGTTCACCATCAAGTGCAAGCTCCCTGCCCATTCCATTCATTCTGATGTTAGTTCCCCTGGATCTTTATCCATTTTCCTTGGTTGCTCGCCTCTGTTTATGTAGCTTTTTAAAATATCTATTTGTTCATATCTCCCAAATGTATATACCTGTTCTAACCTCTGAGTCCTTACAGTGGTATATCCAACTGTTTATTTGGCATTTCTGGGGAGTTTTTCATGCATTGTAAATACAACATGGTATAAGGAAACTCTTGATTATGTCTAGTGCTTGATAACTGAGCCAAGAGAACAAACTTCTGCAGAAAGCACCCAAAAAAAGGGGGGGTGGAGGAGGGGGGACATCCAACTTGGTAACTTTTTAAGGAAATAATTTAATATTTTATAATTATATAGAGAGTCATCAAAGTTAGGCTTTGATTAGCTATATTTATATTTTAAATTAGCATTGCTTTTATTTTGTGCTATGGTCAGAGAAAAGAAGTAATGCAATATCATTCATGTGTAAGGTCTCTAAAAGGCAATCCGCCCCGATCCTTGCCCCACTTTTCACATATCAGCAAATTCATCGTTAATGTCATCCAGTCATCCTTGGTGACCTTCCCAGTTTCTCACAGTCAATACATGGGCCAGTCTTGCACAGGGTTCCCAAGGGATCTCAGACCATGCTCTGTTCTCACCACCACCACTATCACTTGGTTAAAATTTCTCTCCTACATTATTGCAGAAAATCTCCTTCTGCTTATTCCACTTTTATGTTGCTCTTTCCTGATGCCTTTGTCACTCAACAGAAGGAATATTCCTCTAAACATTCATAATTCTATTTCCATTGCTTAATACCCCTTGACGGTTCCTCATTAATCTGCCAATATAATTTCAACCCCATGCCATGGCTTTCATGCCCTGCCCACCCTGGTCACTGCCTTCCCAGTCACACCCTGGATAATGGTTCACATTCCAGTCCTGTCTCACATCTCATCATTTAGTCCCAGCATTTTTTTTTTTTTTTTCCTGCCAGGGATCAAATTTGGGACCTTGCGCTTCCAGAGGCAGGCGGCAGAATCACTGAGCTAAATCCCCGGCCCTAGTCCCAGCATTTTTCAATGACATTGTCTCAGAAAAACGTAGTTAAAATTGACCCTTTAGTCTCATATCACTTCACCAAGTCTGTTATCACAATGTGGAAGTTTTTGTTCATTTCTTTTCAAATAGCTTTTTTTTTTTTTTTTTTTTTTTTTTTTTTTTTTTCTCTTTCCCTCTTTGTACTTTGTAAATACCCTCGCAGTCACCATTTGTTTTTTTTTTTTTTTTTTTTTTTTTTACTTTTTTTCACATCTCTCACTAGATTGTAGATTGAGTTAGTTCAGAGGTCTAATTTGGGTTCTTTACTCTTAGTTTCTCTATACTTAACCCACAGAGTGCTCAAAAACTTATAATTAATTTATGAATTCTACCCATACATTAAATCAGGGCTCGAACTCATAATAACAGATCCAGTGCTTTTCCTACTTGCTCTCTCACTAAAAGAAACAACTCTCAAACCTGGGGGAGTAGACTGGTTCTGATCCAGTAGAGAATCCAATCTGTAGCTTGTTTGTAGTGAATGGCAAGGAGAGGGATCAATCAATACATGAGTAAGGTCATGCTAGTATCTCAGTTACTCATCAATAAAATGAATTTTTAAGTTCTCTCTAAACCTCCGGAGTCTCATTATACAAATATTTGAACAACTGACAAGAATTTTAGCCCCCAATCTAGACTGTGCTTCTGGAAACTTCCTAGCAAGTGTAGCACAGGAAGTGATAATGAAAAGATTATCCAGAGCCATCCTGGTATGAAAATGGAGTTCTCTTAGATTCATCATGACTTTGTAACCCTTGAAAGGTTTAGAGGTGAGTAGCATTTACAGTGTAACTCACATGGATACTTAGTGGCTTCTGTTGTGAAATAAACCTCTCAAAAGCTAATATATATGTGAAATTTTTCTTTACTTAAGAATTTAAACCAAATGTCATGTTATCTAAAACACAAGATATTTAAACATGAAACTATAGAAAGCTGGCTTTTATCAGCTTCTATCCCAACTGTTCCTGAAGAAGAAACATAACAGAAAGCTTTAAAAAATATTGGAAGCAGGGATTTGACTTCCTCACTGTGCATCTGTTCTGCTTCCCTACTCTGAATACGGTATATTAAGGAGGCTCGGCAGATTGATAAATTCACTGAGATATTTATCAGCTTCTGATGCATCTTCACCTGGAGTCTCTCAGAATTACTATTTTAACACCCATGGAATTTTTTATTAGGTTTTAGTAAATCTACTTGGTGTGTTAAAGCTCAGTTGTACACTGAATGCAGCATGGCACTTAG